TATAAAAGAGTAATTATACAATTAGAATAAGAATTCAAAAAGAATGACACTATATCTTGACATGTTCTTTCAAAGAACAATTTAATCAAGTATCTAGAATGAAGATCTATAGAAAATTTTCAGTTGTTCAATAAAATATTTTTCGCATAGTTTTTCTATTGCAAAAAATTTACTTATCCAGGACGAAGCCAAGCCATCGGATCCTATCGGAAGTCAACGGGAATCCAGTGATCCGGATTCCGGTAAAAAAATCCGACTGGATACAGCTAAGTTCTGACTAGATTCTATCGATTTTCATCGGGCTCCGATGAAATCCGGGTCACTGGATTTTTCGACCTGAGTATGATTTAAAATATTTTTTCAAATCAATACATACCGTGCAAAACCTTGTGGTAATTCACCAAGACCATAGAGTGGATAAAGATAAGGTGATTTACCATAACGTGCTAATGATTCACTGTAAAGTTTAATTCTTTTAATTGATTCTAAAACAGGTTTTTCTAAATAACTAAGCACAAAAAAAAAAAAAATTTTATTTTTTTAATAAAATATTCTAAAAAATTTACTCATCATCACTATGAAGTGCTAAAGCATGACCAGTAAAATCAATTGTATCTTGACTAAGATCATATTTTTTAAATGCATCAATTGTACGTGTATTTGGTGGAGCATCTTTATATGTTTTAGGATCATTTTCATCATAATCATTAACCCAACCAAGTAAATTACGAAAACGTCGTTTTTCAAAAAGTCCCATTAATGCTTAAAGAAAAACAAAAAAAACTAAGATCATTTCCTTTTGTTTGTTTTTTTTTATGTTGCTTACATGATGAAAGTGCTTCTTTTTCATCAGCTGGTACTTTATAAATTTTTTGACCTTTGTATACATAACTACCTTCAATACATTTAAATTCAAGATAACGAGTTACACCCGTATGAATTAATAATTTAACAAGAAGACCTATAATATCATATTTAATAGAACGTATATATTTTTTTTCTTTTACCATTAGCCATAAGAAATTTTGGAATTAAATCAACATTCCAATCACGACCACGTCCTGTATCAGATGGTGGTGGTGGTAAATTAAATTTTGTATAAAGCTAAAATAATATTTAAAAAACAAAAAACAATACTCATATAAAAAAAGAATAATGTATTTACATCTTCTAATGGTGTCATTGATGCTGATTCACCACCATAATATTTATTTCGATCCATATGTAAAATTTTTTTTCCAGCAACACCAAGTAAACCGGCTAATACACATTCCTATACAAAGATATTTTTAGAATAAAATAATTAGATTTTGTTAGTTTATGCTTTTTTCTTTTTTTTCCTATACCTTTAAACCGGTACCTAACAATATAACATCATATTCTTCATCCATGATTAAAAGCTTTTTTTATGAAAAAAAAAAAAAGACGATTGAATCGACTGGTTGATCTGAAAAGAAATGTACTAATATTTAAAAAAGAAAAAAAAAACTGACACGAGTACAAATACAAAGATTTGATGACAACGACTATCGGATGATTCAATGAGATGTTTGTTCGAGAGAATAAAGATGTCGAAACAAGTAGCGACAAACTGCATTATTTTAACACATCTTTTCGATTACTATGTCAATTGTAATGGATGTTATACTATTAAATTTTGATTGGTAAATTATTTTTGAGATATTAACGACATCTTCAAATATCTCTGTAATTAATTTATTATATCTACGAACATAAGTATTGAATAAATTGTTTTTTTTATGCTAAATATATATATTTTATTTTTATGTCTTAAAAAAAATATTCTTTTCTTTATATTGTCGCTACTATCAATGATGAGAACAATAACCTTTCTTTGCGGTTTAAACTTTTACTATCAGATTTGAATAATTTAAAATTAATAATCATGTCAAAACGAAAGGTAAATTAATCATCAATAATAATAATATTTCATAATAATTCTTATATTTATTTTATTAAAGAAAAATGATCCAAATCCTGAGGATGATGATGATGATAATAATAATAATGATTTACAAGATAAACAACAACATCAATTAGAATCACAGGTTATTAATTAATTTAGAAAACAAAAAAAAACAAATTTTTTTCTCTCTCTAGAAAGTTTATGATTTTCATAAAAAAACAATTGAAATATATCCTGAACGTTTACGTGAATTAAATCGACAATTTCTTTCATCTATATCAACACAAATAACTAATGAACCTTATAGTGTACTTGTTGGAAATTGTCTTGATTATGTTCGTCAATATTTTAATTATGAAGATGATTTACTTAAATATTCACCATGGCTTGTAACAAGACTTAAACAAACTCGTTCAGGTTAAATATATCGTATACAATTATTGAAATGTTGAAAAAAAAAAAACATAAAATTTTTCTTTTTTTTTTAGATATAGTTAAATGTTTACCAGATACAATTGATATTTATGAAGCACTTGCACGACATGATTTTGATCGTATATTTGATAAAAATATTATTGAAATATCATCGAATGATTCAATTACAAATAAAACTATTAGTTCTGGTCAATTAACTACAACATCAGTTCAACTTCGTCCTCCTCCTACAACAACAATAAGTTCATCAATACCATCATTTAATTTTACGAAACCAATAACAACAACAACAATGGTTAATGAATCAACATCAGCAACTAGTTTTAATTTTAAAGTAGCTACAACACCAGAAAAAACAACAAATACATCACCATTTTCTTTTAATCTACCAAATACAGGATTGGGAACAGTAATATAAAAACTATTGTTTTTCTATTATTATTATGACTTCTTTTCCTTTTTTTTTGTTTTTTGAAGTCAACATTTCCTCCGATTAATTTTATTAATCCAATAAGTATAGAAAAATCAACAACTGCTTCAACATCTTCAATAAGTTTTACACCACCAAAATTTACATTTATATCAACACCATCAGTAAGTGGAGAACAACCAGGAACAACAGAAGATAATGAAAATGGTAAAAAATAATATCAAAAGAAAAAGATATATTAGAAGTTTCTTTTGTTTTTTCTTAGAACTAAATGAACCACCCGAACCAGAAAAAGTTGAACATGAAGCAGATGCTAAATTAACATACAGGTAAGATATTCAATAGAAAGATTTATAATTAAAACAAAAATAAGAAATAAATTTTAAAGTGTATTAGCCAAGAGGAGAAAAAAGCGAAAATGTCATACTTCAAGACTATGTTATAAACTGTGCATTAGATCTGTTTAGCTAATTTAAGAATAATGAATTTTATATTCAAATGAAAAAAAGAATTTATAAATAAAAAACTAAAGCATTGAAATTTAGTCACTTTTTGATGGTTTATATCGAACCGAGAATCGCTCATACCCTTATTCGGCACTATTTATAATGTTCGACCTTGTGTATAAGATTGAGAGATGTCAATAAATCATATAAATGTTCTATTTTTATTTCACCAAAAGAGAAATTCAAAAATCGAATCCTGGGAAGATCTAGTCCTACCTGTCTACTATGAATTACAATAATATGGTTAGAGATCCATATCATGCCTAAATTGTAGTCATGATTCTCTTTATACATAGATGTCACTTCATGTCATATATGTTTTTATCAACCTTTTCATTCTTTTGTTTGATCGCGTGACCCTAAAATTTTTATGACATATATAACTAATCAAAATCTTTTAGTTCTAAAAGTTTCATCTCTATAACTATGACTAATGATAAAATATTGGTTTTTTGCTGAAAAATGAGGCAAGAATCGAAAGCGAAAACTTATGTATTTTATCATTAATTAGCTGAAACTTTCAGAACTAAAAAAATCTTGATTAGTAATATATGTCATAAAAATTTCAGATCTCTCACGGTCAAACAAAAGTATAAAAAAATATCATTAACACTGTATTCTCAGTTATTATAAAACAACACCCTTTTATGTCTCAGTAGCACACATCTTCAGAGAAAAAAAAAAGATCAATGTACACGTTTTGGCAAAACAAATTATGCTAGATTGTAATTTATTACAATGACTATCAGAAATTGCCGTTTCCGAGGGGGGGTTAAATCATAATGATTAGTCTTGTGCATTGACAAACGTATACGAAAGAAAAAAGACGTAATAAAATGACTCATCAGTTAGTAAAATTCTTTTTTTCAAGAATAGATATTGAGTCAATAAATTATACCTATTTTGATATTTCGACTATGACTCAATGGATATTTTAGAATTTTTTCTCCGGAGGGGCGATTTAAATTTCCGAGGGGGGGGGGGGGGCAAGCCATGTATTCATAGCACGATTAACACGGCGAATTCAATTTTCGGGGAGGCGCCGAGCACCCCTCTGGATAAAACATTGATTTTAAACATAACTTTTTTCTTTCTATCTTAGATGTCGAATGGGAGTAAATAAAAGTGGTAAATTAATAAAACGTGGTCCTGTACAAGTTATACTTAAAGAAATAAATGATAAACGTCAATTAATTATTCGATCAGATGATTCTCTTGGTAAAGAAAACAAAAAAAAAACATACATATACATAAATTTTATATCTTTAATCTAGGTCGTTTATATTTAAATATTTTATGGTCAAAATTAATTGAAATAAAAAAAAATTCAACGAAAGATCTTACATTTATTTGTAAACTTAATCCAGGTATGAGTGAAATAACAGAAGGTGAATTTGTTATGATATTACTTCGATTTGATAATGAAACAGAACGTAATGATGCATATGAAAAACTTGGCAAAGAACGTACATAAACTTTAATTTAAAATTAATAAACATTTTATCTATGCAGAAAAGAATTTATTCATCTTTTCTATATATATTTCTCTAGGTTAATTTTTTCTTTTTTGTTGTTAACAACGTTCAGATCATAGTTTTTTTTTTTTTTTGTTCAATCGTGTATTACGTATAGAAAGAAGACAAAAAAAAACCAATTCTTTAGAATTCTGTCTCTGTCCTTCTTGTTTTTTTTTTTGTTAAAGATGTTTGAAAATACGGATTCATCGGATGATAATGATGATAGTTTATCTAAACAAGTTTTACCTACAATAGATGATAACAATGATATGATTGATATGAACAAAATGCCAACAACTGGAGAAGAATATTTGAGACAGGTTCGGTACGATCAATGATTTTCTTTTTTTTTCGATTTTAACAAAAAAATAAATCGAAATGAATTGCATGATTATTATTTTATTAATAATTTGATATATCAAAATCTTAATACAACATAATGTTGTTGTATTTAATATTTCAAGTTCTATATTGTTTGAGATTTTTTTTTAAGAGAAATTATTATAAAATTATGAATCTGTTTTGGAAAAAGAATGTATATCAAATGCTCGAAATTACAAGAAGGAATTTCATCATAACGCGATTACTTAGGATTTGCATAGGTCACAGCTAGATTCATCATACTGCTATAAGTACATAATATTAGATGAATAGATTATTTAGGAGTATATGTGAATGCTTATTGATTGCTGCGTTACTTTCGAACTTCAGTAAGAGTCATTGTAATACTATACATACATAACAAATTTAGAACTATGAATCTGCAAAATCGCTTTTTTTTAGTTCCGATCTTTGACAATGGCTTTATTTCTAAAATATCGAGCAACTTTTTTTTTTACAATCTGTGTATTTATCAGATTCTGATAAGACTTAAATAAAGGAATGATCAAAGAATGAACGAATTAAATTTACGTATATAGTGTTACGTGGTTGTTTTATATGTATTCAAAAGCCTGTGCAATTGGAAAATTTGAATTCTTGCAAACAGACTCGTAATCAATAAAGACTTTTATAGAAATAGAAAATAAAAATATTTGATCTACAGATCTTTAATCATGTCAAAATAATAAACATCAGTGGGTAGTCAGGGGTAGGGTCATTGGGCAATTGCCCATAGATATTTCTGAAATCATAACGGTTGTCCTTAGCCGCCCGTAACTCAAAATAGTTCGGCTGATGAATTGCCCATGACTCAAAAATTCCTGGCTACGCCACTGATAAATATGAAAATATATTGCATAAAAAACTGACCGGGATCATTTTGCAGTTCCCTACTATGAACATCATGTAGGTCCTTAAAATTCTGTTTTTAAGGCCACAAATATGAGGATAAGGAAAAATAATTCTTCAGCACGGCTGCAATACTCATCGAAAATGAATTCTAGAGATGACTACCGTCGTCCTTCGTGCCTTGTTGTTTTAGGCGCGGTACACATCTGTGTACTTTATTGTATCTAGTAACAAATAATGTTAAAATATTTAAGTAATTAAATTTTTGTTTTTTAAATGCATTGGAAAATGATTAATATAAAACTCAATAAAATTTTAAATATAATCGATTTATATGATTAATCTTAAAATGTTATTAGAATAATATTTTTGTTGAAAATTTTTTATAAAAAAAAAAATTCTAAATCAAATAGAGAAATTTCATTTGTCGAAATCTAAAATATCATGCAATAAATTATATTCTTTCATTTTAGTTTTGAAGCTTCACAATTACCTAATTTTCAAACAGCAACTAAAACAAATCAAAATTTAACAACATCATCAAAATCTAAAAAACATGCTTGGCTTAAATTATTTTCAGTATGATTTTTGTTTGAAAAAATTATTTGATATATATATATTTATATTTAGTCAACAAATACTATTCCAGATGTACCAATAAAACATATTATATCAAATGATTGGCAAAATGAACAATGTCTTGCATTTTCTAATGTACGTAATGATTTTTTTCAAATGCGTGATCAATTACGAATAATAAATAAAAAATATCGTATTGTAAAATTAAAAAATATAAATGATTATTGGAAATTTTGTTTTGGTAATGATATTCCATTTCAATCTCCATTATCATCATTAGAAATTGATGAACAATTACAAATACAAAATCCACTTCCAACAATGACAAAAATGATTAGTTTAACTCAAGTTTAAATTTTTTTTTTTTTTTTGTATAAAAATTATTTTCGAATAAAACTTTTTTTTTTAGCCTCAACTTCATGAATTGTTACAATATGAAATTGATTGGCTTAAACAATGTGGATATTCACTTCATTTAGTATAATCTTTCATTTTTCTCAAATTGATTGATTTTTTGTTTGTTTTTGTATTGAAGGCTTTGTATATATATGCTACATTAGTATCTATTGAAAAACCTATTGATGAAGATGTTATGTATACGATACGACAAACATGTATAGCATGGAAACAAATACGAACGAAATTATTAGTAAGTAAATGTTCGTGGGGAATTTTTGATAGAAATGAGATCAGTGGCGTACGCAGAAATTTTTCAAGGGGGGGCCCAACTTCGTAGGGGGGGCCGGCCATGGCACAAAAAATTTTTTATCACGTGAAAATATTTTTTCCTGTACCCCCCTCCAGGACTTTTTCGTCTCAAGGGGGGCCCGGGCCCCCTCGGCCCCCCCCCCTGCGTACGCCACTGAATGAGATAGAGATCTGTGGTTTTCGCTGTTGAATAGAGCAGATGAAGATGCATCGAATTATGTATAGAAAGATTTTTTTTTCTAGCTACTTTCCAATAGGTTTTACATAAAATTTTAAGAAAAACAGCATGTTTCTCATGGTTATGATATTAATTTATTGATTTTCAGAAGTGCGCTAGAGTTGCCAAAGGAAGGGCTATTAACTCTGAAATGAACAATAGATCAAATGCATAGTACACATTCTTATCAGATTGTCTTATTTCATATATATTGGGATACAGGTTGTTTTTTTTTACCATTGTTCATCTTAACCTTCAACAATACAATAGTAAAATATCTAACTGATTTCCTGATGTTTTTCTTTTTGTATCTTTTAGAATCCAAATGATAATGATTATCCTGTTGATGATACTTTAATAAAGAGCTGTGATTTATTTATATGTATAATTGGTCGATATTTTGGTCAATTTGATTTAGCTGATCGAAATGATTAAAAATAGATTTCAAAAAATTGATAAACTTTCTATTTATTTATAACTATTGTTTCTTTTCTTTTTTGTTGTTGTTTCTTGTATCAAATTATATTATTATTATTTCAGATGAAATCTTTAAAATATATTTTTCATCCAACAACAATATGTCGAATGCAAACATATATTTTTTCTTCTCATCATCGATATTTATCTACGAAGAAAGAAAATAATACAGAATCTAATACTGAAATAGGTCCATCAGCACCTGAACTTCAAATAAATAATCTCACTGGTGATCATGAACGTAAATTGAAATATATCATTTTTTTTTTGTTTATTTATAATTTTAATCAATTCTTGTAAATAGATATTGTGGAAATTGCTCTCAATAGAGCTGAACGACGTAATGCTCTTGGTAAACAATTACTCAATCAGGTAGATAATTATTAGAGAAAAAAAACAAATAATTATTTTTAAATGTCTTTGTATTTTTATTTTTATTTTTTTGTCTATTGATTTAGTTGGATGCAACAATAGACAGTGTAAAAGATAATAATAAAATTCGATGTGTACTTTTTCGTAGTTTGGTTCCAAATGTATTTTGTGCTGGTAAATTTTGTTTATCAAAAGAAAAATTCATAGATGAATTTCTTCTTTTCTTTTTAGGTGCTGATTTGAAAGAACGATTAGATATGCCTCAAGAAGAAGTAGGACCATTCGTATCAAAAATTAAAGAAATATTTTCTAAAATATTCAGTCTACCAATACCAACCATTGCAGCACTTGATGGTGAATCATAAAGTTTTTTTTTGTCAATCATTTTATATTTATTCTATTGAAGAGAGAAGCTGTTTAATAAAAAAAAAACCACACCGACTATAAGGTTTAGACTACAGAACGAGATATGTGTAGGCTTCTACAAATATTTGAACTGAGAGAGTGCCTACACACTGCAGCGGACATGAATGTTCACATAAAAATATACACTGCAGAGATGGAATCAGTACTGGTTATCGGTCAATTCAATGGCCGTATGAATTTCAGACTGGTGCCATCTCCAATGCATCGGATCCGAACTAGTGGCGTAACCAAAGTAGGGCTAGGTTGAGCTCCGCCCAACCACCGGCGTCAACTTTATCAGGCAAGTTTTCCTATCATCCCACAGATCTCATTCGCCTGAGCCCAATCATCAGACATTTAAGCGACGCTAAGCCCTATCACCGCCAAAATCCTAGTTACACCACTAATCCGAACTATGGCTCAGTGTTCGCATATTATCCTGCTAACCCAGATGATGTCGGTTATTTGATTTCTAAACCCTATTAAATTTTCCTTTCTTCTTGTGAATTAAGTAAAAAACGATGTTAGTTAAAATCACATCCGAGTTTTTAAATTCTGAACGTGTCTAATTCAGTATTTACAGCAAGAGTACTCATCCCTAATCATACATTCTTAATTTAATAACAATGATTTTATTCGTCTAAGGTTTGGCACTTGGTGGTGGACTTGAATTAGCCTTAGCATGTGACATTCGCATAGCTGGTAAGCTTCTAATATATTCAATATACTATCAAACTATTTTAATTTTTACAGCACATACAGCTAAACTTGGTTTAACAGAGACTAAACTTGGTATTATTCCTGGTGCTGGTGGTACTCAACGTTTACCTCGATTAATTGGTCCATCAAAAGCTAAAGAACTTATTTATACAGGTTTGATTTTACTAATTAAATTTTCAAGCATTTTTTTTTACAAACAAATAATTTGTAGGACGAATTTTAACTGGACAACAAGCATATGAAATTCGTTTAGTTAATGAAGTTGTAAAACAAAATGAACAATTAAATGCAGCATATCAACGTTCACTTGAAATAGCACATGAAATTGTTCAACAGGTTTAGTTTTTTTTTTTTTACAAATATTTTTCTATTTTTTTGATTTAATAGGGACCATTAGCTGTTCGAATGGCAAAACAAGCAATTAATAAAGGTCTTGAAGTTGATCTTCAAACAGGTCTTGATGTTGAAGAAGGTTGTTATGATACTGTATTAACATCTGAAGATCGTATTGAAGGTTTAAAAGCTTTTCAAGAAAAACGAAAACCTATTTATAAAGGTGTTTAAATAGACTTGTTGCTTCTTTTTTTTTTTATCCTCTTTTGATTTTTTTGTGTATTGTATTTTTATTTCCTTTTATTTTTTTTTCTTCTCCCATAAAAATCTAACAAAAAAAAAAAAAAAATCTTCATAGATAATATTTGAAATACTTTTATCATTATGTATGAGAATCTTTCATGTAGATATATATATATATATTATGGTTGGTTATGATCCAGAGAAAAAAAATTTAACAAATAAACAAATCTTAATTGCTAGTACGACAGGAAGTTCTATTGCACGTTTTCTTTTACAACCAATTGATGTTGTTAAAATTCGTTTACAAGTAGGATAGTAAACAAATAAAGAATTTCATATAATGAAAATATATAATATTTATGGTATATAGCTTCAAATTGAACCTATTCGACATATACAAGGTTCAAAATATTATAGTCTATTTCAAACTATTCGTTTGATACATTATGAAGAAAGTATACGAGCATTTTGGAAAGGTCATATTGCAGCACAAGTTCTTTCAATAACTTTTAATTCTACTCAAGTAAATTTTATATAATAAAAAAATTTTTTTGTTCTTATGTTTTTTTTTTTGTAATTATTTATAGATGTATGCATTTGAAAAAGTAACTAAAAAATTAGGAGAAATTTTTCCTATAACAACATCTTCACCAACAGCTAAAACAGTAACACATTTTATTACTGGATCAATTGCTGCTAGTATAGCTGTAGTTAGTTGTCAACCAGTAGATATTCTACGAACAAGATTTGTTGGACAAGGCGAACCAAAGGTTTGTCTGTGAGACTTTTGTTTTTTTTCTCATCATCTTAGTTTAAAAGCAAACTAAACATTATTAAAAATGTAAATGTATCTCAATAAGTTTATTTTTATATAAACATCGATTTATTCTGAGTAGTGAACATTAATTTCTGGATCAATGAATAATAACAACTTCTACAATGTGAGTAACATATGTTCTCTGTCATTCATATGCAGAATGAGAAAAAAATATAATGGCATACGAATAGTATTATTATAAACAATCATGAAACATCTATAAAAAAAAACAAAGTGGATAAACGAATTGTACATATTTAAAAGAGGAAAAAAAATGATATTATATAACATCAATAGTACTTCGTGTAACATCTTGTTGTGTTTGTGTTACCCATGTAAAAAAAAAGAAATTGCATAAAAATCACAAAAAGAAGAAAATCGACTTTCGCATCACTCTTTTTGTTTTTTTTGTACATAGATAACAGTTAGTATTATCAAGCCATGTCAATTCGAATTGCTTTATATCTAATAAAAAATTTCGAAATTATTTAAAAGAAGAAAAAAGAATCATATTGTAGAGTCGAAAAGTGTTTGTTATTACTGAATGATTATAAGTCGGGAAAAAAAATAGAAATTACAAACTTAAGTTCTTTCTTTAGAAAAATATTCTGTTGAATTCACTACAAATTTCTATTTAAAAATAATTGAACTAAACATTTTTATAGATCGTACAATTAACATTGTATGATATTTGCTGTATTTCTATCATGCTGTTGCCACAATGTAACAGGTATTGAGAAGGTTATGCTTTTATTTTTAATTGAATATCAAATGCTCTTTCCGAATTATGCATAAATGTTTGATTACAATGTATTTTTGATGAATGGGAATGGCTTGTTTGAGCTACTACAATAAAATAAAGCTTTTGAACAAAATTCAAGTTCTTATTTCGTTTGAATTATTTTATATTGCATGTCACATTTGAGATCTAAGTGAAAAATAAAACCAACTTGATCATAAATGAAATTAGCAGAATATTTATTAAATAGGACTCGTTCTGAACTATACTTAGTATGTTAGTGTAAATTTACGATCATTCTACTGCAATATATCGATAGTTATTCTCTAGTCGATTATCTATTGTCAGTTCTTTTGAATCCTGATGATCTATGGTATCTGTGAAAACAAAAAGTTTTGTATCATATTAACAGGCCTCGCAGCGTTTGTACTTTCCTGATTTTTTCCTGATTTTTTAAAGGTGTCCTGATTTTCCTGCTTTTGACTGAAAAACCTGCTTTTGTCCTGATTTTTCAAGATTTATCTCTGTAGGACCACATATACGTCATTTTGATGTTTTATTTTGTTATACTCAATGTTTCTTAAAAATTTTATGAAAATATTTGTTGAATATTTTCTATAAAAAGAAAGATGGTACTCAAATTTTTATTCTGTCCATTTTTTTCTTGTATAATCACTTTAAGAATCGATTATTTCGAATTAATTGGTTTTTGAAAGCAGCTATTTTATCATTAGTAATTATCACCAATACTTCGGCGGTATTTATATCATACAGTTCACGACCGTGGGTAGTTGCATTAAATCTTGTATTCCCTTATTTTAACATTTTAGTCGATTTACTAAAGTATTCTTGTAAACGCTTTTATTCGTTTATCTATAACATGGTGGTTTTACATGTGCGAAGAGCAGGGATATGAAGAAGAGGAAAAATAGCAGAATGGGGACGGAAGCGTGATGCAGGAAAATGGTTTGAGTGCCGAAAAGATGGTTATAGAACGTTAAACACTGCGAAAATGCGGATTTTTCTTATTTCTTTTTACAGCTATTTTCCTAATAAAAATGCGATTTCTACTAGAAACAAATAAGACTCCAATAGTGAAGGATACCCCCTTCCGTAGGCCACGTATCTGAGAAAAAGAAAACGTAAACACAATGCATAATTAGAGATAGCGAACGAAAAGGAAAAAAGCAGAACTCGAAGCACGTATTCGGCGAAATATAATATAGTAATTCCAATGAACTATCATTGATCGACATACTTTTGTGCAGCTTTCATCCTGAACAATAGCACTATGATAAGACTTAAAATGTCCTGATTTTAATCGAAATT